AGAATATATCTTGATGTTTTTCCAACCGGAGGTTTGAGATATTCTCTGAAGTATTGGTCAACCGTACAACCGATCACACTGAACCGAAAAAATTATCAGCCGGTTGAAATATTCGGTTGACCCGGATACCTGGTTAATAAATGGTTCTTCTACTACGTATAAGTTTTCCTGTCCGAATTAAATAATTAGTAATAAAGTTTATCTAAATTGAACGTAACAAAGCAACTTTGCACAAAACTTTCCCAGTTACCTTCACGATACAATCTGATATTATTCAATAACTAATACATTTTATCTTATAAGCAAAATTCTTCGAGAGTTTGACCCTTTTTTTGATTCTTTTACATAGTGAACATTGACACTTTATTAAAGCTATCTGCTATAGACGATGCTTACAATGATTTTTTTATTAGTGAGCTGCTATCGTTATGTTCTCAAGTAGTAAAGTACAGTATTTTGGTATTCATGTTACCTGGCTTAATTTAGTAGCCGGTTTTTATTATTATCAAGTTGTTAAACCTTTGAATGTTGAGATCAAAGTTTCGAAGGAAATGCTTTATCTTTTTGTAGTTATCACACAATGTCGCTATCACAATATCCTCATTATTCTATCTTATATTCCCCAATGTTCATATAGGGTTGTGGCTTAATTTTTCCTATTGCTGAACAAAGAGCTTGTAACCTGGCGTAATTAGAATAATTCGGTTATAAAATTGGCCAATCACAATAAAGTTAATCTATAGGGTCGATAATTAAGAACCCGACTACTAACACAACATAGGACATAAGAAAGAAGGAATTTCTCTCACTCCAAAGAAAAAAATAGTCCTATCCGCCCTAAATGCACCTACTTTGACTTCAGCGGTTTCTGGTGCTTCTACAACATCAGCAAATCTAAAAATTAAAATCTTTACACGCGCAACCGGCCGGTACAGAAGAACGGCAAAGACACCAAACAAGTGACAGAACAAGAAAAAAGCACATTTTTTTGGGTAAAATACCAGACGATGAGGAGCCTGAAGCACCAATAGAAGAACAATTCATTTTGAGGTTGTTAGTACCTGAAGATGTTTCAGAGAGAAAGTGAGAAAACAGAAATTTACTGAAGATGTTGAAATCATGTTTAAAGGTAAATTAAAAACATGAATATTATTGTGCTAACACAAGACAGGCATTTAATAATTTTTCATAAACTACAAATTGAAATAGACTCTCGTCGTGCAATTTTCACGTTGGTCAGGTAGGTATTGAGTAATATTCGTTCAAATTTTGGGTATCTATAAAAAAAAAAAGCTGCGACTAAATGTTTTTTTAACTTTTAATGAATGTTTCTCGACAACTACCTATACAAACTCGATAAATTTTTTATTTATTTTAATTATATAAGTTTTCAGAATTAAAATAAAAAAATTTTCATCGAATTTGGATAGGTAGTTGTCGAGAAATCCTTGCTTAAAGTTCAGAAAAAGAAAATTTTGCCCGGTTTTTAGTTCTTTTTCTAAGATTTTCTAATTTCTAGTTAGGATTTCTCGACAACCACTAAACCAAATTCAATAAAATTTTTTTTTATTTTGATTTTACAAAAGTATGGGATTGAAATAAAAAAATTTTACCGAATTTGATCAAGTAGTTGTTATTGAGGAACCTTCGCTATAGGTTTAAAAATTTTGGATGATCGCTAAATTTTGATTGGTCGTGCGAAATTTTTTTTTTTGGTTGGTAACGCTAGGACGGTTATTTCGCCGACAATCTCCAGCCAACATTAACTATAAAGCAGGCCAACCTAAATCGGGTCAAATTTGTCGACGAAATGGCTGTCGGCGAAATGGTTGTCGGCGAAATTGGTTTATACCGTTAACACCACATTTGAAGAATGTTAGAAATGGGAGATTCAGGAAACGTATTTCTAATAAAGTAATCTGTTTAATCATTTTTATTATAATTTCATGTATTTACATATTTAAATAATCAATTTTTTTGAAGAAAATTGAAGATATTGAAAAAGAAGTCGAAAAATTATTACATGATGATTCATTAGCAGAAGAGGTTAAAATTGGTAATGTTGATTTCTACAGAGATCATACAAACTTTATATAGTAATTAGTTTTAACTGGTAAGAAATAATATATGATAGTTTATATAAAGATTGGGAAGATGCTGTCGATTCAGAAACTGCTGCACCCGCTGCATTTGCGGAATCACTCCCTGAAGAATCATAAGAATATGATGCAGATGTATTGGGAAAAGATGACGACTACGAAGCCGAAGAAGGATTTGAAGTAGAGTCTCAAGAAGATGATATGGATATAGAAGGACTGCAAGAG